TGGGAGTTATGATTGCAAAGCATATAGAAGACCCTTCCAAAAGAATCTATGAAGAGTGTCTTGGCACAGGGTAGAGCTGTGAGGTTTACCTGAGGAAAGCTGTTGTGTTTTACTTTGTTCTGTTTGATGGGGAGAAAAAAACTCAGACTCCAGAGAGTCAGCTCAACATTTCTGTTTACTGGCTGAACACTGAGATGAAAGATTTCCCTGCCGTGCAGTCATTTCTTATTGCAAGGCCAGTCCAGAAGACAAGAATAAAACAAAGGGCAAAGCAAATGGCCCAGATGAGAGCTGGTAGGGGAAGACAAATACTGAAAAAGTAATAACAATAATGATGCCAAAACAGGAACAGAGAATGAAAGACCAGCTGAGCATAAATGAGGGAACAAAGAAAAAAGGATAATGGAAAAGAGATAACGATTGGAAGAAAGACAAACACTGGGATGTATTGAAAATTCTGCCCAAGTGATGCTTAAACTCTCAACATTGTTTTGAAGAACAGCTGTGTAATACTCTTGGGCCAGGCACTGACAACCTTGTTAATGCTATACCTACCAGTGTGGGTTGATCTAGAGAGATAAATGGAACAAACTCAGCCTCAGTGTACAGTTACTGGTATTGCTGTCCTTTGGGAAAAAGTGATAATTTTACATTTGTCTCATGCCTGTTGTAGTTCTTAGATCTGTATTCAACTTTCTGCAGGGCACTGGGTGAATGACTTGAGCTATGTCTGTATCTTGAGGGCAAAAACACACTTTAAAGTTGTCTTAAGCATGCTAAGCACTGTGGCTCACTTTCCTTCTGTCTGTTTTTTTTCCTACCATGGCAGTAGACGATACAGAAAGGATTCATCTTGGGAACACACAGCTCAGGTTTCCTGTGAGTACAGAGTACCATCTCTGTAGCACTGGGGATCCCAGGCTCTTCTCAGTCTCTTCCTCACCAAAGAACTCCAGAGATCAGCTTATACCCACTCTTGAATATGCATTTCCATTTAAAAAGTGGAGGTGGAAGATGAGAATGGACTTTGATCCAAGTCCAGCTGAGAGTGTGGCTTGGGTCAGTGATTAAAATCCACAGGTTCTTAGTCTCTTGATGCCTGTCTTACTGGGTTTGTCTTTTGCTGAGCTGTTAGGAAGAAAATCTCTTACGGGACAGAACACAGTTCCTCTAATAGGAAATACGAAATGCAGTGAGACTTGCAGGAACAACTGGCCTGCCTCTCCCTCACCTTTGAAACAGAGGACAAAAAAGGAAAATATACAGTTGCATAGTGGTGTCTTGGTTTGGCCATTAATGACATCCTCCAGTAAACAGCTAAACTGGTTTAGCCAGTGATGCAGTATCTATCTCAGGTTTGCTTCTTGCCCCTTTATTTGATAAATTGGTGCTTCCTGCCTGCTTCTCCCTTTTCTTTGTTATTGTGAAGCTTAGCTAAGCAGCTACGTGTATTTTATTTGTTAGTCGGCCTCATGGTGTGTGTCCAGTATGCGGCGTGTATCTTTAGTTGATAAACTAACAGAGACATGAGCTGTGTGCAATACTCCGCAGATACAGTCTCTCTATTACCCTGATTTTGTTAGAAGATGAAGCTCTTGTGTTTTTTGTTTGTCTGTTTTCTTTTTCATTGCAGCTTTTCATGTTATAATTTAATGTGCTGATAACTGCTGAAGCATCTCATTTCATGACTTCTGAGTTTTGTGTATTACTTTGTGTGTGTGTGTGAGATACAATTCTTGCTTTACTGTTATTGGCCCTGAATATCTTTGCTTTTAATGTTTAATTTATTCATTTTAATATTTACCAGTGAGGCAGGGCTGAGTGGCAGTGAAGAGGAAGTCGTAGCAGTAAAAATGACCCTGTTTTGGAGAATTTATTTATGTGTCAGTAAGTCAAACTGTGCATTGAGCATATTCACAACAAGCATATTCTCAGTTTTCAATGATGTACCTCGCTAGCCCTTGTTCTCATTGGAGACTTCAATTTACCAGATATCTGCTGGAAATACAATACAGTAGAGAGGTAAGAGTCTAGGAGATTCCTGGAGTGTGTGGAAGATAACTTACTAACACAGCTGGTGAGGGAGCCAGCTAGGGAAGCCGCCCCGCTGGATCTGTTGTTTGCAAACAGAGAAGGACTGGTGGGTGATGTGATGGTTGGAGGCCACCTTGGGCATAGCGATCACAAAATGGTAGAATTTTTGATTCTTGGAGAACTAAGGAGGGGAGTCAGCAGAACTGCTACCTTGGACTTCTGGAAGGCAGACTTTGGCCTGTTTAGGAGCCTGGTTGACAGAGTCCCTTGGGAGACAGTCCTGAAGGGCAAAGGAGTCCAGGAAGTTTGGACATCCTTCAAGAAGGAAATATTAAAGGCGCAGGAGCAGGCTGTCCCCATGTGCTGAAAGATAAGCTGGCGGGCAAGAAGACCAGCCTGGCTGAACAGAGAGCTTTGGCTGGAACTCAGGAAAGAAAGGAGAGTTTATGATCCTTGGAAGAAGGGGCAGGCAACTCAGGAGGACTACAAGGATGTCGTTATGTTGTGCAGGGAGAACATTAGAAGGGCCAAAGCCCAACTAGAACTTAATCTGGTTACTGCAGTAAAAAACAACAAAAAATGTTTCTACAAATACATTAGCAATAAAAGGAGGGCTAAGGAGAATCTCCATCCTTTATTGGATGTGGGGGGAAACATAGTGACAAAGGCTGAGGAAAAGGCTGAGGTACTCAATGCCTTCTTTGCCTCAGTCTTTAATAGTCAGACCAGTTGTTCTCAGGGTACCCAGCCCCCTGAGCTGGAAGACGGGGACAGGGAGCAGAATGAAGCCCCCATAATCCAAGGCAAAATGGTCAGCGACCTGCTGCACCATGTAGACAAACACAAGTCTATGGGGATGGATGGGATCTACCCAAGAATACTGAGGGAGCTGGCAGAGGTGCTCACCCAGGCACTTTCCATCATTTATCAGCAGTCCTGGCTAACCGGGGAGGTCCCAGTCAACTGGAGGTTAGCAAATGTGACGCCCATCTACAAGAAGGGCCAGAATGAGGATCTGGGGAACTACAGGCCTGTCAGCCTGACCTCGGTGCCGGGGAAGGTTATGGAGCAGATCATCCTGAGTGCCATCATGCGGCACATACGGGACAACCAGGGGATCAGGCCCAGTCAGCATGGGTTTATGAAAGGCAGGTCCTGCGTGACCAACCTGATCTCCTTCTATGACAAGGTGACCCACTTAGTGGATGAGGGGAAGGCTGTGGATGTTGTCTACCTAGACTTTAGTAAGGCCTTTGACACTGTTTCCCACAGCATTCTTCTGGAGACACTGGCTGCTGGTGGCTTGGATGGGTGTACTCTCCTCTGGGTAAAAAACTGTCTGGATGGCCAGGCCCAAAGAGTTGTGGTGAATGGCATTAAATCCAGCTGGCAGCCCGTCACAAGTGGTGTTCCCCAGGCCTCAGTATTGGGGCCAGTTCTCTTTGATATCTTTATCAACGATCTGGATGAGGGGATCGAGTGCACCCTCAGTAAGTTTGCAGACGACACCAACCAGGGCGGGAGTATTGATCTGCTGGAGGGTAGGAAGGCCCTACAGAAGGACCTGGACAGGTTGGATCAATGGTCTGAGGCCAATTGGATGAGGTTCAACAAGGCTCAGTGCCAGGTCCTGCACTTGGGTCACAACAACCCCATGCAATGCTACAGACTTGTGGAAGAGTGGGTGGAGAGCTGCCTGGTGGACAAAGACCTTGGGATATTGGTTGACAGCTGGATGCATATGAGCTGGCAGTGTGCTCAGGTGGCCAAGAAGGCCAATAGCATCCTGGCTTGTATCAGGAATAGTGTGGCCAGCAGGACGAAGGAAATGATATCCCCCTGTACTCGGCACTGGTGAGGCCACACCTCGAGTACTGTGTTCAGTTTTGGGACCCTCACTACAAGGAGGACATTGAGGTGCTGGAGCGTGGCCAAAGAAGGGCAACAAAGCTGGTGAAGGGTCTGGAGCACAAGTTTTATGAGGAGCGGCTGAGAGGGCTGGGGTTGTTTAGCCTAGAGAAGAGGAGCCTCAAGGGAGACCTTATCGCCCTCTACAACTACCTCAAAGGAGGCTGTAGCAAGGCAGGTGTTGGTCTCTTCTCCCAAGTAATAAGAAATAAGACAAGAAGAAATGGCCTTGAGTTGCGCCAGAGGAGGTTTAGGTTGGATATTAGGAAAAATTTCTTCCCTGAAAGGGTTGTCAAGCATTGGAACAGGCTGCCCAGGGAAGTGGTTGAGTCCCCATCTCTGGAGGTATTTAAAAGATGTGTGGATGTGGTGCTTAGGCACATGGTTTAGTGGTGGGCTGGGCAGTGTTAGGTTACCAGTTGGACTTGGTGATCTTAAAGGTCTTTTCCAACCTAAACGATTCCAGGATTCTATGAGTCTGTGATTCTATATCTGTACTGAGGGAGAGGATAAACAATCGGTCTGAATAGGAGATTAATTTGAATGCTAAAAGGATGTACTTTTGTACTCAGTCAGTATGGTGTATTCTATATAAATATAACTCAGGCCTCTCAAATTTCTGCTGTCCAACAGTGAAATAGCTTCTGCAGTGCTTCAAGGTCAGGTGATCATGCAGCCAGAGATCCACAGAATAACTGTAATTGGAAGTGGCCTCTGGAGATCACTGCTCAAAGCAAGGCCAGTTAAGAGCAGTTTGCTCAGGGCCCTTTCAAGTTAGAGTTTGAACTTCTACAAGGATGGACACTTCATGCCCTCTTTGGGCCCTTTTCATAAATTTGACCATCCTTATGGTGATTTTTTCTTCCCCTAACAGCTAATCAGAGTTTCTGGTGTTGCAGCTTTTGTTTATTGCCTTGTGTACTATTGCTGTGCTTCTCTGAGAAACAAGAGAAGCTCCATCCACGCTACACCCTCTCATTAGGCAGTTGTTAACACTGCAATAAGATAGCAATAAGATCCCCTACGGGCCTTCTCTTCTCCAGGCTGAACAAACCCACCTCCTGCAGTTTCTCCTTGTATTTCATGTGCTCAAGCTTCCTGACCACCTTCATGGCCCTGTGCTGGACTTGCTGGACATGTATGTCCATGTCGAATAGCTTCAGTGTTCCTGGACACCTCCAATTAATTGGCACAGACACAGGCAGTGATTGACTGGGATTGTATGGGGCTAATGTCACTAAAATACCCAAGGTCAGTGTGTGGTTCTAGAAAAACATGCAGGTTCTAAGTGGGAAGGTATGTGACTAAGTGATTCCAGAGAAATAAAAAATACTTGACTGGTGGGAGGGGGGAACTATGTTATACTCAGAATTAGAGAAATTCTCTCTCCGTTGCCCGAAGCATGACCTGGGAAGGAGAGCATGGACAGCTGATCCTATGTTTCATGAAGGGTGGGAATGAATTTGTAGCCATCAAAACCTGGTGGTTTGAATCATTGCTTGAAGGCAGCACAATTAATCAGTTGTATCCTAATGACCTTCAGTGATTTTTGAACTCAATGCTGTTTACTCAAATAATTCTGGCACGTGGTTCTTTTTTGCCTTTTGATCTGGATAGAGCAACTCACATGGGATGGTCAGTGCAAAAGAAAAGTTGTCTCCTTTCTTCCAGAATCTCTTTTCAAAGGAAATCTAGCAACCTGCTTTAGTGCCCATGTACTCCCAATCATACTTCATATTTTCTGGTTTTGTTTGTTTGTATGTAAGCAGTTGTTTCCTCCCTGCTGTGGTTTAGCTGAGAAAAAACTTAACAAATGTGATTTCAAACTGAACAGATATTATGCTTCAGCTAAAAACTCCCCAAAGAAATATAAAACATTAAGGCAAACACACATCTGCTTTTGAATAAAACCAAATCCTCCAAGCAATGTTCAAAGATGTTGTCAAAGTAATTAGCATACTAACAATGAAATCAGGTAACAAACAGAATTTTTAAGGCAAATAGAGAGACAAAGTGGCTTTTGAAAATTTTACCTATTTCTTCCTTTTAAAATGTTCAAATTTACATGGCACAAATTTATGAGACTTTAAAGTAAACTTATGATGAAAACAACCAATGAAAGCAAAGATTTATTTCAGTGTGAATGAGTTTTAAACCCTTTATTACTTTCTTCTTGTAAAATCTCCCAGGTAGAAGGCCAACATAGTTTGACGTTTTGCCTATTGGATAGTTACTGCTTAAGCAGAAAGTATCCTTCTGCTACCCAATTGCTATCATTAAGGAATATATTACAGAATATATTACGGTGGCACTCAGCCCCTCTGTGCTAATTACTGTGTATGTATACTATTAAAGACAATCCCCATCTCAAAACGCTGATAATCAAAATAAACAAAGCTGATCAAGTCTCAAAGAAACATCATAGTGTCAACAGCTTGTAGAACAGAGACTGGAATGTACAGAGAAACTCCATGGCTTTCCCATAAAGGATACCCAGATCAGGTAGGAATTAATCAAAGAGTTCGTACTCCTCACTTTAGTGCCTCTAGAAGTTCAGTGTTGCTGCAAGGGCCATTCCGTTAACAGCAAACACGACAGTCATTTTCTTGGTGTGTTTTGTCCATCCATACCTCCTGCTGTGCTGGAGATGGTCAGGTTGCTCTTTCAGTGGACATGGAAACAAGTATAGTGGTCTTATTTTTCAAAGTCTTGCGATATTTTAACATTTAAGTGGGAAAAATTCATGTTTTCATAGCAACCAGTTTCCCATCCCAGGGTCAGCACCTAGCCCAGTATTAATGCTGAGTTTCTCAGTACCATTTTAAGGGTTCCCAGCGAATAGTGGGTATTATTAAAACAAATCAAATGACAATAAGAATTGAACAGTTGTTCTATTTGGACACAAAGCCAATGGTAGTTGTTGGCAGGGTGAGATTAGGGAAAAAAGGGGTCACAGCTCCTCAGGCCATGCTTGGAGGTTATAAGTCAAAATCCACCTACATAGCTTGTTTCATCTAAGTTGCATTTATTGCAATGTCACAGTGATGCACCAAAGAGGCCCCTGAGGTACCAATGCCAAATTATCCTGCTAATGATCAGCTTATAGAGTTCTGCTATATTTGCTATATCACAAATAACAGTGAAGAGATGTCGATACTGGAGTAAAAAGGGAATGTTTTGTTGCATGCTTTCTGTTCTGTTCTCAGTTTTGTGACTGTAAACCAGGAAGAACTTAAATAACACTAAATAAGTACAAATAAACTGGATAGCACAATCGTTACGCTTTTCGTCCTGTTTGTGAGTTGTTACTTGGCTCAGCACATCCACTTTAGGAAGCAGAAGTCTTGAGATATCTGATAGTGAGGTGGGGCATAGCATTTTCTGCTTTTCACGACTGATCTATCCAAAATGACAAAAAGCTAAAAAGAAGCACATTCAAGTTTTCCTCTTAAAATTTTTTTTTGTAAGTCAATCCAAGGCTGTTCCTGAGTACTTTGGTTGTTTGTAAAGTGGGTTATGTGAAAGTGTGGATGGGACACTGGTGAGGAGATCCATGGTTCCTCGGCAGGGAAAATACCCCTGATGCCTGTAAAAGCGGAAAGAATAACTACAGGAAATATTCTAGAAATGCTGGGGGCTTGTTGAATAGGGATCATACCTCTTTGCCTAATTTTGCTATACAGGAATAATCTAGTAGATCTGGCCCAAATTTTTGAAGGGATTCTGCTCCTCTCACAGTTTCAAGGTCTAAATGCTAAAACCACCAAGGGAACTTAGTGTTACAGAATAAACTCTCTGTGTTTGCATTTGTCCAGTGGGCTTAGATTAAATATGTAGGGTCTCTATACCATGCTAGAGGATAGACAGGCTTTTAAATAATGAAGCCTAAGTCTCCTGTCAGAGGAGTAGTCTAGCAACTCTGTTATACCTGAACAAGGGCATTCCAATTTTTGTAAGCTGAAAAATATTGTACTTAGCTGGGAGTAAGAGAACTAAATTTGGTCTGTACTGATATCTGTATGCTAGATACTGTGTGTCAAATATTTACTGAAAATAAGACTGGTGTCAGGATGAATGCTCTTACACAAGGATGTGGAGTAACTTAGTTCAGTAGGTATTTTGTGTTTCAGAAAATTCCTGCAAAAAAAAATGCTGAAAGGACTGAGAAAATCTTTCACCTATGTAGTCTGCAGCCGAACACTGGTGTCCAAATTCCCTCAGGCACAGGATTTAGTTAAACCTGGGCCTGCCTCATCCTGGGTGAATGCACTGACTCCTGATCTAGAACATTTTTGACTGACTCCTGATTTAAAAAAAGTTTCTGCTTATGTGTGTGCTGCACTTTGTCTGGCGGTTGTGTAGTGAGCAGGTATGCTAAAGCAGTCTGTGCAGATGAACAGTGCAAAGAGAGGCCTAACCAGGTATTCAGACAGTGTTTTGGTGTGAGATAAGTTCTGATATGCTCAGCATCACGAAGAGTTCAGGAGTGGACATCTTCAGAGAATGCCCAGAAGGAAACCTGAGATACATATGGACTTTTTAGGAACTTCAGGGGTTAGCTGGCAGTCGAACAGTGTGTTTGCGGACCTTCCTTCTGGACATCTTTTTGGACTAGGTGGAGTAACTGGATGGCTAAGTCCCATCATCCAGTTAACTCAGACATATTAAAAAGAAATTGCCCTTGAGAGTCATTGTTCATGCTACTCATCTTGGACTTCCAAGGGCCTCCACTGGGAATGCCAACACTGCTAAATACAAGAAGTCAGTGATCAATCAAAGCCAAAGAGTACAAATGGGCTCACATCAAATCACATCAAATCACAGACAGATCTTAGAGGACACTAAACTGTGTGGTCCAAAACAAAGCCATGTAGTGAGATAATTAATTAAGCAGTGTGAAGAATCAAGGTCCAGTGTTCAATCTGCTTCCCTGGTTCTCTTTCCTTAAGGAAATATTCCTTAGCGAAATATACTCAGAAGTGTTTGTGGGCATGTAGACCAGCAGTCACAGAAATATATGTGCTAATAAACTCTCTTGGCTTCAGAAACAGGGTGGCTTCATGCAAGCTGCCTTTCAGAAATGGTCCCACCAGTGTCTCAACAGGCAAACTACATCCAGCAACTGTTCGGGAGACTGGAAGTTAGACTGTTAGAAACTCATTCCAGAAATGTTTTGTCAGTTTTGTAATACTGATGATTGTATTCCAGGGCCTAGAATGTTTTCTGGACAGATTTTTATAGTCACAGCCTTATTGACAATGCGGAGTCTACACAATGGCCCTGTGCCCCCAGCTCTAGACCCTGACTAGGTCATATCTCCATAATGGGACCAGTTTGCTTTTCTTGCTCTTGTGCATCCTTGAGAGCATCAAGATTTCCTTCCAAAGATACCCAAGAGAAAACACCATGTCTGTCACTGTGGTTGTCCAGGGGACTGGGTTGGGGAGCTCTGTGGAGCATCTCCTTGCAAAGTGCAGAGTCAATGTAAGAAGAACTTGGACAGGGGGACTTTGCCATCTAAATTTGTTCAGCTTTGCAATGCGCTAGGACACAACCTGCAAAAAACAGGGCGTAAAACCTGGGTTTAACTGATCTGTCTACCCATATTACATGGAAAGTATGTGGTGAAATAGGGAAAAGAAGCCAGAAACCCCATTTTTTTTAACATTAGTACCTAAACTCTGAACTGTATCCTTCAGATAGCGTTCATTCTTCCTGTATTTCCCTTCATAGTGCAGATTTGTTAGAGCTATAGCAGAGTATTTCCACTACATACAATTTTGGGGGGCAAGAGCTACCCTCCAAGGCCATCTGCAAACTGCTTAAATTAAATAAGGCTAATCCATTTATAGAAAAGTGAAATGGAAACATAATTTTAATGTGCTCCTTGATATGAAGCAAGTGAGCTTAGAACTTGAGCTTTGCTGTTACCTAGAAGAAATAAATTCAGCAAAAACTCAAATCCCATTTCCATATATATTGCTGGTCTTATCAGTGTTTTGTCTAAAATGTTAAAGCAATCTTAATTATCTGAACTACAATCAAAAATAAAAGTCAGCACTCTGCTCCATCTTATTAAAATTCAGGGTTGGGATAATGTTACTTTGGAAAAACCTCATGTGTATGCCATAAATTAAACTTCGAAGAT